CAAGTGCACAAATTTTTGTGCACTGGGCCTCTAGTGTAACTATAATGCGCTACCTGACAGCGGTGGGCAATGGGCAGTGGTGACCAGCCTCCAGGCTCTGCGTGTCCTGCCCTCTGGCCTCACTAGGGGGCAGCATGGGCAGCAACCCCGACCCTGACCATGGCTCGGTGGCTTTGCATGTTGGACACCCCATTAAATGCTCCCTTACATTGTATTTCTATCATTTTTTTTTTTAAGTCATATGTTCACAAAGCAAAACTGTGAGCCAAACGTGTCCCCAAACACTTGTCACTAACACTGTCTCCACAGGTGTGTGTGGTGCGGCACGCAGTCCCCCTGCTGACGCTGCTCTGTCTGGGCTGCAAGGTAGGACGGCCGTGCCTCCTGGCGCTCACCTGGCGCAGAATGGGCGCGTGGCTTGGTGGGCTGCCGGCAGAGTGCCCTTGGGGTTAGGACTCCCTCCCTGGCCTCGGGGGAGCTGGCTTTGGTAGGAGGACTGGTCTGTTTCCAGATAGTCAAGTAAACACTACCAGCTCAATCCTTCTGATCAGTTTTGGTTTCGACTTACTATTCAGATGGTGCGAATCCTGCACATAGAGATGTTTCCAGACCAGTTTTGAGGTGAATGAAGTAGGAGCTTTGCTCCCCCGGGACCTGCTCTCTACGGAGTGCGGTGCCCTCACTGCGTGTGTCATACAGGCTCCCGTCCCCGCGAGGACGGCGGGCACCCGCAGGCAGGGCAGCCCAGGCCGCAATGCCTGCCATGCAGGTTTGGAGGAAATGGTCCCTGTTCGCAGTGGACTCGCTTAGGGAATGGGCGTTCGTCATGTCGACAACCCTGACGCTTTGTCACCTCGATAGTTAGAGGCTGGGACTGTCGCCTGGCGGTGGCCCAGCCCAGCAGCAAGCAGTTCCCAGTCAGCTCCTGCCCTGCAGCCCCTGCTCTTCCGTCCCCGCCGCAGCGACCGCTGGGGGTGAGGGTGACTGTTGTTTGTTTTGCTTTTCACTACAGTTCTGGCCGGGAGTGATGGACGAGCTGTCGGAGTTGAGGGAATTCTACGACCCCGACACCGTGGAGCTGATGCACTGGATTAAGTAAGGGGCCCTTCCCGCCACTCGGGCGTCACCTCCCGCCCCTC